AATCTGGTTTGTATTACAAAACTAAATGAAGTAAGATGGAAAATATGAAAGAACAGAACATACAATATAAGGCCTTTTTAAAATGTATTGCTTGAATTGGTTAATATTGATCTCTTTTATTAAATGTTCTTAAACAATCTTCCACAATGCACCTACCTTTTTGCAGTATATAATCTGTGTTACTACATTTCACCAGTACACATCTCTTCAACTCTACTCTGAGCAGCTACACAGAGACACTGAAGGAAGAGGTGGGATAGTAATGGAGGGTGGACAAGGAGGGAGTTTTGTTTTTGTAAAGCTGTAACACAACAGAGATAAAAAAAAAAAACAGCATACAGAAATTACCATATAGATAGTATGTTAACAAAGGGAACATTTCTATTTAAGTATTAAGCAGCAGTGACAGTATAAAAACAATGACAAACTCCCGCCACAGCTACATTAAGTGAACAGAGCTAGCTTTTGCTATAACGTCGGGTACTTATGTATGGAAGCCTGTTTGCGCCACAGAAAAAATCTAAAATGAATCCTGTAAGTCATAATTATGACTTACTTATCTCAATATAATGACTTACTGTCTCATTATTATGACTTACTGTCTCATTATTATGACTTACTGTCTCATTATTATGACTTACTATCTCATTATTTCAACTTACTATCTCATTATTTCAACTTACTATCTCATTTCAACTTACTATCTCATTATCATGACTTTCTATCTCATTATTTCAACTTACTATCTCATTTTTTCGACTCAAATGATTATTATGAATTACTGTCTCATTATTATGATTGAAGCCGACCACCAGCAAGTCGAAGTAATTTGCTATACTGTAGCTTTAAGCAAGCATGATTTTGGATCAACATAGTGCCACATAATGTCACCTTGCAGTGCTTAAGAGCGGACTGAGTCTCTCCCACAGTTTGCGACCAACACCAGTAGAGGTTCCGAGACACCAGGGTGACTACCCTTGGATTATTCCTGTTGAGTCCAGGGGCGGACTAGCCATCTGTGTGTTCTGGAGAATCACAGATTGTCCGGCAGGCCAGGGCCGTTGGCGGCCGGCCCGGGCCTTTTTTTTAAACGTCATCATTTAAGTTGCGCTGACAGGCGACAGAGGGCCACAGTTTCCCCGCGCTAACAGTTCACGAGCGTGCTCTCTATGTGAGTGCTTGAAGTTGGGGTTAAAAAGTGCCAGTCCTCCCTTATTTACATATGAGCATGTGTATCAGTAAACCATTATTACATTGAATAAAAGTCCTTCTCAGTCTGCTGGATCCTGAGTCCTGGATCCTGAGTCCTGGATCCTGCATCCTGAGCCCTGGATCCTGAGTCGTGGCTGATCCTGTTGCTGTGGTCCTGGATCCTGAGTCCTGGATCCTGAGTCCTGGATCCTGAGTCCTGGATCCTGAGTCCTGGATTTCGAGTCGTCGCTGAACCTGTCTCTGTGATCCTGCCTACCTTTACTTAATTATGAATGTTGTTTCATCAAGGCCGAAAATTAGGATGAGCGCAAACAGTCAAAAATAGTTTTTTCCCCTCCCAGAGCTAACAGCGCAGTGCCCCCCCAGATCTTGCGCCCTAGGCGACGAAACCGTGCCACGCCACACTAATGCCCCCTGCATGAAACGCCTGTTCTCGACTTCTTTGTTTACTTCTGTAATAAAAAAGTGACATCACTATGTAACCCTTGTGATTCTACTGGGTAGCACTCCAACACATTGAACGTTATAAAGGATGGGACATCTCTAAGCAGTTAATCAATCACAACAGAGCCGGCCATCTAACCAATCAGAGCAGACTTGACTCTGGTTTCAGACAGAGGGTGAAAAGAGGTGCAGGGAGTATGAGAAAAATAAAGACCTTTTTCCCAAATTAGGAAATTCCTACTGTCTACAAGGGTTAACCTTCAAACCATTAAGAATCCAACATTTCCCATGATGCAGTTACATTAGCTTTCATTGGACTCTCTCTGTCTGATCAACGTCAACATATTTTAACTAAAAACATTATACTGTAGAGCTTATTCACAGGCTGAGTCATGCTCTCCATGACTAGTCTTGATTGCGTGTCTCCTTTAAATATGCATTGTTAAAACAAAATTCTGCAGAGGATGCTCTCTCCTCCATGGTGGTACTTTTGTTTATACTAGCCCTTTGTGATTTATGAGCGTATGGCTGATGCCAAAACACCATAAATGCACAGCCATTATATACCATAACGCATCCCCACACTCCCACCCCCCTCTGTTTATAGAACCTTGCAAATCCCATTGGCCATGACTGTCACATGTGAGCCAATGGCCTGATTGCTTTGCAGCATCCTGACCATGTGGCCTGCCATGTGCTTTCATTCCCTCTGCAGCAGAAGAGGTAGATACACCAACATGGAAGCATGAAGCAAGGGAAACATGTTCTTGCTTTGGACTGTTTCTCTGAAGTGCAGTAAAAACCGAGTTCTTAAGATACAAATGAATGTATAACTGTTTTCTCTCCAAAATCCCATCTTGTTAAATTAGACAAACTGTTTTACAGCCTGGTGGATGTTCCTTTTTTTAATAGGGTTTCCAGCACAAGACACATTATATAGATATTGGAGAGCTGTTGTGATTTGGAAGGAAGAAGGGACATCAAGTTCAGGACAGTTGTTTGCCTATAAAGTGTTAGGGAACATTTCAAATCGAGCTGTGACAAAGTTATGAAAGCATGTGTTTGAACAGCAGAGCCATTGCAAAAGTGTGGTAAACCTTCCTCCTAAAGGGCAGAACGGGCGACTTAACTGGTTGTAAAAAAGAACTGAGATTGTCTAAAGGTCTATAACAAAAATAGCTCCGTAGACATTATCTTAATTAGTACATGGTTTAAATCGGTAGTTAAATGTCGGCTTCAATACAGCGTGATGTTCATTTTGTAAATGATGGTCCGATTTTGAGTAAAAAGACGATAAAGCAGCATTATTGTGCGGCTTTCTTGTGATTGACAGGTCTCTATGGGTGTTGTCCGTTTTTTTTCTATACGAACTTTAACCCTTACACTATGTGTTTTAAGTTAGTACATTTTTGGGATTTAAGTCACATACAATGGCATGTTCATTGTTAAGTTAAGTACTTTTTCCATTCTCTTTTTGTTTCTTTTTGCTAGCTCTAAAAAGCCAAGATGGCGGTGGCCTAAACTTGAGGTTTATAATAATAATGATAATAATAATAATAATAATAATAATAATAATAATAATAATAATAATAATAATAATAATAGTGCATCAGCCAGACTGTTTATAATATTAAATGAGCAAAACCAAAATTAAAACCTCACTGAAATATTTACAAATACTTCTTAACCTTTTCATCAATAGAAATATTGTTTTTAATGTTATAACATTGCACTTTTCCTTCCACTGTCAGCATGAGAGGTATTCAGGAGGGTCTAAATGAATCATGACCGTGAACAGTTTGCACACGGCCTCCGGGGATGAAATGGCAGGATGCAGCACATCTACATGCTTGCAGGACAACACCTAAACAGGAAGCAGCACGGTCTGTTACACTCAGTAGAGTTAGGCTCTTCTGCTTTCTTTCACAGTATCATGTAACAGGATGAGTACAACATGCAGCAACACAATCACTACCATCTGCATTCTAATGTGTTCATTCAGTCAAATATCATTCATTGTTCAAATAAACTGTAAGCTATTAGTGCACTCTTAATTTGGGCTTGGTATTCAAACCCATTTATGTTTTAGGCTTCTGGTATTTTCACAAAGATCATTTTAAATGTATTAAACCAAATGCATGGTCGCAACAACAATGACTACTTAAATACAGTCCAACGCAATCACTGGGATTTTTCACTAAGAGGGAAGAAGTTGCTGCTCCAATCAACTTTGGTGTACTCTGACCCTGAATTTGCCTACTATTTTACCCTTTCAATAACTTTTTTAATAAAAATCGTGTACAAAGTGTATAGAAATTAGAACAATGGAAAGACAACGAAAAGCATCTCTATCTATATATATTGTTGTTGACTATTACTAGACAGCTAGCAGTTAGCTAACAGGCTACATTTATTCTTTGCAAAGACAGGCAGATTAATTACGCTTTATCCCTTTCTGGTGTGACTAAAGCCTTTTCAGGACAGGTTACTCATACACATTTTTCAGCAGAGAATGTATGAATGGATCACAGTGAAAATTAAGCCAGAGATATGACAACCAGGGCCAGTTCTAGTGTTTTGCACCTTGTTTTTTCCTTGTACATTTAGACATTAGTAAGACTTAGACACACATACAAACTGGATGTGTGTTTTGCTATTGAATGGGTGGAGATGCATTGATTGATGATTGATGTTTCATGACTATAACTTTCTTCCTTTAGAGGCCCACAGGTGTTCCAATGCTACTTTCCCATAGGAAATATAAATCCCTCGACATTAATCAAACCCCCTCAGCCCTTATGCATGCACTGACAGCGGGCTCCAGCTGCCCTCCAGCCGTCACATGACCGGACCCACCCAGGGCACCGAGCCCCGGCCAGCTGCAGCAGCACTGCGCCACAACACACCGGAGCTGGATGTAAACACCAACTTCCATCTGTGCGTGATAGTGCGTGCTATTATTATGGTGTGTGCTGAAGGCCGTGCAAGCTAACTGATGCACAAACAGGCAATAATCGGTTATTGACTCGATTTCTTAGGATACTGCGTGTAATATTTAAAGAAAGAGGCTTATAACATGTAATTATGATGCACAGTATAAACAGGCTAACTGCGACTCACCTATCGCTGTTAAATACGGACTGATTTGCTAAATAAATGGTGATGCATGCTAAAGGAAACACATCACACGTAACCTATGTTGTAATTTGATGCAAGTGTTATTAATATTTGCATGAAACTTTGATTATCACAAGGACAGCCTGCAGTCTCCTACAGAACCGCAAACAGCCAGGAAATGTGCGGACACAGAGCTCCGCCTGAAGGTGACGCAGAGGCTTGTTTACCTGACTTTGGGTAGGTGACAATCCAAATGTCGCTACTTCTGAGGGAGAAGTTGGCGATCTCCTCCATCTTCCCCCTGCAGAAGGGCGGCAGCCGCACTCCATCAAACTCGAAGTATTTGCTCTCAAACTCAATCGGCGTGCTCGGCGTGTCTGCCTCGCTCTCGGCCATCCTCGAAACGAGCCGCCAGTGCACGAACAAGTGAAACGAGCACACCCACGCGAACTGTTTTTCCAAAATAGTCAATCAATCGTGAAGGTGTTGGTGGTGGTGATGATGATGGGGAGGTTGATTTAGAAACAGCGCTGCCGAGGATGCTGCACGGCGAACGGAGGAGTTGACCAGCAGCCAATCATGTGGGAGAGAAGTGATGTAATGCGCGCACACGAGTCCCAGCATCAGGACCACACTCACCGAGCTCGTGGATGCGCGCGACTGCAGAGGAAGGATGCTTCACAACACATTTGACAGATTTACACGCTCCAGTTAAAGTATTGCCATAATGCTGCTGTAATATTCCTATAACATTAGGTAACGTTTTCTTATTGTGCATCATACAGACAACACCATTACCATGCATACATTTTGTAGGCCTATACTATTATATAACCTTTATTGTTCTGGCATAAATGGTCTCTCTCATAGGCTTAAAGAGTATGTACTTTTAACTTAGGTAATTATGTGTAATTAGGCAGTGAGGACAAGTATACACCTGAGCAAATATCCCAACTAACCCAAACTACACTATGCCCTATCGTAAGCAAACAGTGAAAAGGAGAGTGATCTATCACCATGAGAGACAGTTTATGATGAGCATAGAAATATTAAACAGGTGGGAGAAATCTTGAAATAACTGTTAAGTCGAAAACATTGGATGGGTTTTTGTGTGTTTACTATCTTCTCTTTTTTTTTAACGGGTTCATTATGTCACTGCCTGTTGTCCAACCCACTTGCTGATGATTGGTTCTTGTAAAGACGATGGCACTGATAGACGTGTCTTAATCCAATCATGCTCTCACTAACATTTGTTGCATTGACTGTCCCTTGTAAATCGTAATGTCTATAATTGACAAGCGAAGCTACAGGCACATTCAGTCTTCATGTTGCCTTACGTTTCAATTCATGTATTTATTTAGTCTAGTCATTATGTCATGACACTTTGTTGAACCACACCCTTTTCACCTGGCAACATCAAAACTGGCACTATTCTAAACTAGGCATACATAATAATAATAATTCATTACATTTTTATTAGAGCACTTTTCCAGGTGCTCAAAACGCTTTATTTATTTTCACTATCTATCTCTGTAAAGCGACTTTGAGCACCTGTAAAAGCGTTAACAAAAAAAATCTATTATTATTATTTACAATTTCACATTACACATATTAGACATGTAGCAGTTATTACTGTGGACAAAACCCACAGGAGCAAATTAGATGTGCGTGTGTCTTAAACAAAATACAACTGCACTGATATATTAAGCTTTTCACATTTTATAAATAAAATCCCCTTAGTGAAAAAGAAATCTAAATAATGGACCAGTTGAGTGAGAAGTCTGATATTTCTGACAGTCCCTGAATGCATTATTGACAGAGCGTCCTCCCTGTACTTCCCCTTTAAGAGCCAGTTGTTTTAGTGTGGATTCAGTTCTCCAGTCTGCCTCACTCCGCCGGTGAGGTCGACTTTCTGTGCGCTGTCAGTGCTCCTGATGGTCGACTTAAATGGCGGCTGGAACCTGTCTTTCGCCGGTTGCGGGTTTCTGGGGATTTACCACATCGGAGTTGCTAGCTGCCTGCTGGAAAAGGCGCCCTATCTTCTGAAAGGGGCAACCAAGTTATACGGAGCCTCGGCCGGTGCTCTGACCGCCTCGGTGCTCGCCAGCCAAGCATCCATAAGTAAGCTGAACCGCTGTGGTGTGGACTCAGGAGGTCCTATTGTTATATAATAAATACTGTATGGCATAGTTTGCCTTTACAACGCTATTAATACACGTATACAAGCCAATGTCTTGTATGTTATATTAGAACACAATGTCCGATATCATTATGGACATAGCTACTGTATGTGATGTATTATTTTTTTATATTGGTAAAGACAAACACTGAGAACCATTACTTCTCATAGCCTGGTGTATGACTCTGCTGCTAATAATTAATAACATCACTGTCACTTTACCATGACTCAAAATTAGGCTTAACATCTTTTAGTTCAGTTATTGGGGTAAGAAAACTGGTAGCATTTTAGTAGATTAAAGTGAATGTTGGTTGAATTTTTGGACAAAACTGCCTCAAAAGTATATATATTTTTTAGCATATAGGCATAGGAATGCCAAAATATCATAAATATAATTCAGATTTGTTATAGATGTGTAGTGTTCAAAAACAGGCCGACTTCTGTCAGAGGCGCTCCTTTCACTTTCTCTCACATGAATAAACATCATATACTCATGTATTGACTAACTTGAAGCCATGTTGACCTCCGTATCGGCTTGAAAGAGGACTCGCTAAGGTCAATGTTGGTCACTGACTCCAGGTAGCTTAAGTTAATTTAGATTTATCAGCATGTTAATACTTGAAGATGTGTTTATTTATTCGCAGTCGATTGGTCAGAGGGAATCCTCCTACCAAGGTTCCATCTCCTAAAACCTAAACCCCTTTTTCTGTCTCTTTTTTAGTAAAATGTTGTGAAGATGTGATCGAGGTGGCCAAAGAGGCCAGGAAGAGGAACCTCGGCCCCCTTCACCCCAGCTTCAATCTGGTCAAGGTGATAAAGTCTGGCCTGGATCGAGACCTGCCCTCCGACGCTCATATCCTGGTCTCGGGGCGGCTCTGTGTTTCGCTCACCAGAGTGTCCGACGGGAAAAACGTCATAGTGTCAGAGTTTAACTCCAAAGATGAACTCATCCAGGTGCGTGTAGTTGGTGAAAAAATCTGAAAAAGCCTCTAGGGCCCCGTGACAATAATCCAAGCCACAGGAAGTGGATTTACTCTGGTTTAACTGTGCACTCTTTCCACAGGCGCTGGTCTGTAGCTGTTTTATTCCGATCTACTGCGGGCTGATTCCTCCTTCCTTCAGAGGAGTGGTAGGTGTCTGTCAATCACTACTCATTCAAGTTTAGTTTGGTTTCCCTTTTGGGATGCACAATTATTTGAACAAAATCATATTTCTACTCTCAATGCCATGAGACTTCAGATAAAGTCAAAATCATACAAAGGTGTTCCCTTTCTTAATGTATGTAATTCAAAGGTCATTTGGAGTGCCTTTGAGTGCATCTGTTATCCAAAACCATTATATTTATATAACAGTATTCCAGTAAACTCTCAATATAGGATTGGGAGAATGCGCTAATAATAGGTCGAACTGCAAGGCTCCTATGATATCATTTTGCTTTCAAATAATCAAGGTGAATCATTGGCATGTTACGAAAGAGATTTTTTCCTAAAACCAGTGTTGCCTTCACTTTGACTTATCGGCTGCTTTTGGACTTTGACAGTGATCTATTCCACTCAACCGAGATGTGGCTACTGTGTGTGTGTGTGTGTGAACAGACAGCACTATTCAGATCCGCTTCCTCTCCTCTGTTGCCAAGTCACACAGAATCACAACTAAGTCAAATCAGATTGGATTCAGATGACGTTATACAGTTATGACAAAATACAAAGGTCAAGTGTGTCATGATGAAGGCAGATAAATAAAATCCTCGATGAGATAAAGATGCAAATGGGAAAATTATCTTTCGATTTTAATAAAAAAATGCTACGATGAATAAATTAAGCTAAAAAAAAGTATTGAAATTGAGGTGTCAATAGAAATGTAAGCGCAGGAAGGAGCAGAAGTGTCAGTTGAAGCACTCATAGTTTTGGGTAATAACAGCAGAAAAAACTTAATTTGAGTTGAAGTTAAACTGCCTACGACAGTTTGTGTATTCACTGAAAGGAGTTGAACTGTCTTAGTACGGCTGAACGCAGTTGAAATGCCAAATAAACAAAATACAAGTCAATAAGCCCGACCTTTACAATGACAACAGATGTAAGTTCACAACCTGATGACATGAAGTATAGTACAGTACAACACAAGACTTGCCAATAATAACTATACAGTTCCAGCTTAAAGTAATTTAAAGGAGCAGTGTGTACAATTTAACGGCGGTGAGGTTGCAGATTGCCATCAACTGTACCCTTCCCCACACACAATTCCTCTTTGTAGACCCTTAATAGAGTCTGTTGTCTCAGTCTTGGTGCCAAAGTTCAGCGTCAAAACGCCACGGGGAACGCAAAGAGTCCGGATTCATTTAAACTGTTGACATGTATCACAGCTGTGGTTATGCAGTCAGCCGCCGTTATCTGTGGATTCTGTACATTGTGTTCTTTCTGCGCTTGACTTATAGCCCAGTTAAGTGTGACTCACCTCTGTGTGCTCTGGTGTGTGCATTAACTTGGGCCTGGGGACAATTCTAGATATCATTAGTGTACTTGTTAGAAAACATGATTTAGTATGCGTTTATTAGAGCAAACTTAAGGAATTTTATTAAGATTTACACTCACTTAACTCCATATTTTCACACGATAACACATTACTTTCCTGTACATTTTTTGAAAAGTTATTTGAAAGGACTATGTAATTTGTATATTAAGAAGAAAAGAAAATTTGATTGGATTAAAATGGTAAACCAAAAGTAAAGTATATATATTCAAGCACTTATTCAACAATTAAGAATCTACTCAACTAGGTTACAACTTTAAATCTTCCTGTTTCTTTCTTCAAAGCTAACATTTGTTTGTATTTGCAATTTTATGAAAACCTGTTAAGTTTTTCCCCCTGATTTCTCCTAAGAAACTAAGAATCTGCCTGTAAAATATAGTTTTACTGATAGTTCTTCACATCCAAGAGAAACAAAAGCCCAACGGATGCTCGATAATGATACAGATATTGATATTCTCCAGTTATATTTACTTTTAAACAACTTGCAATGGATATGTACGGAGCAAGATTAGGAGTCTTTGAGCTGAATGATACCCTTTGTTTTGTATAGTCTTGCACAGTCAGTGAACTGAAAGGATAAATCCATATTAAGTTCATATCTCCTGTAATGACAGTATGCCGAGTTATCAGGCAGCGAGATAATATGCATAATAATAATGTAGTAAATCCAATATTACAGTAAGAAGTAGGTAAAAGTGTCATTACACACTTCTCCACTTCCTCACTGACCTCATTCTGACAATCTGGCAGACATTTTTTCACCCTCTCGGTCCACATGCGGCAGCTCTGCCAAGCCAAACGGGATTTTACAACCGCCCCCTGGAATAAGGTTAATCCTGTCTCTATGACATTTTAATCGCTTTAAATTACAAAATCCTCCTTTCATTTTCGAATGTTCTGGTCGTAAAAATGCAACTAGAGTCTTTCATTAAATAAACAGATTGGTAAAGTCTCTCAAAATGAAATCACTGATACAAACAAAGAGGTAAGTGTTAAGAATTAGGGTGTTGTTCTGCTACAGGGTGGTTGGGTTTTTGGTTTTGAAAGTGTCTTTAACATATTTTGTCATGGCGATTGCAGGGAAAAATATCCCTGTGCATTGTTAATTAGATTTAAACTACTTCACATTTCCATTAAAAGGCATACACACTTACACACTTTTCTGTCTCTTTGCCCTTTTCTTTGTCTTCAGCGTTACGTGGATGGGGGAATCAGTGACAACCTGCCGCAGTCGGAGCTGAAGAACACCATCACCATCTCTCCCTTCTCCGGCGAGTGTGACATCTGTCCCCGCGACAACTCCACCAGCTTCCACGAGCTGCGCTTCACCAACACCAGCATCCAGATGAACATGGGCAACATGTACCGCCTCAGCAGGGCCCTTTTCCCCCCCGAGCCCAAGGTAGGTACTGCTTCACAATCGGAAGAGGGACGTTAGACATTATCAGAAAAAGGATGCAAATAGGACACAATTAAATGTTTGTTTTGCGAGAACAATGGTGCTTAACTCCCGTCAAATTCCTGCTTTTTTTTCTTCTGAATCACAGTAATGTAATACTTCATAATGAATCTTCACAGATTGTGATATTTTCCCCTACATATCACAGCAATGTACATACTTCAAATCCATCTTAAAAAATGACTTATCAATGAATTTGATCTACATATTATCAATGGATCCAGTTATTATAGGTAACGTGAACAGAACCATTGTTCAACCCTCAGACTGACAAACTTGTGCAGCTTAACAGATATAGAACTTTATAGACTAATGATATGTCTATGCGGTGATTTTTGCTTGTTCTGCTGCCCCCTAGTGGCAGAAAAGAACCTTTAATAAGGCAAGGCTATCTAACATTAAAAAAGAAGAAATTATGATATTTTTCTTACATAAAAAGGGCAATAAAACATACTCTTATGACCAGTAGCACTAGTGTTAGCAATAATATTATTAGAATATTGTTTTATATTACTGATATAACTGAGTGAGATTGCTTCTTTTATGACCCTTCAATTGATTTGGTACCGTCACGCACGTTTGGACATTGGTCACTACTACCCTACAATCCCCACTACCACAGCTTGCCAAACTAGCTTGTGGATTTAGGATAGAAAACACCCTCAGGACGACAGGAATGAAGATCTAAATCCGTCGTGTCTTGCTCACCGTTTAAGACGTATGCCTCACTGTCACGAGACAATAAAGTCCTTTAAGATGAGAGCTGGCATGGACAAAGTGCAAAGGGATTATTATTGCTCTGATTCATATGCAGATCACTTGAGATATCCATGTTGGTGCCCTTCCTCCGTGGCTTGTTTTGCTTTCCTTCCCCTATTTTATTTCCTTTATTCACGGACAGGAAGTGAGTATCTAAGCTAAATGTTCCCTCTCCTTTATCCCATGTTTCCTCTTGTTATTTTCTGGTGGTTATTCTTAGGTCATTTTAAGGTTGATATGAGCTTTGGGTTAGAGCTCTCTTGTTGTTATACAGCTCTTCACCCCTCCCCTCACGTGCATATTACGCCATAATCCATGATTATGTAATAGGGTGCATAAATCTTTGTGATGGGGGAGGTGCGTTCTTACATTCCTAGAAAGAGGAAATCCCCTTGCAACATACTACACGAAAAACAAGTGTACCCACACATGCCACTAAACACATACATACACACACACATGTACACATACTGTATACATGTAGTGTTGTGTATTGAACGTTGCACACGTCATTTTAACTAACTATTTTAGAATTGTATGGAAGTTTTAAAATGCCTAAAATAAAATCAACTACATTTATGAAGTAAAATTCAATACGCATTGTAATTTGTAGTATTTGTTATTTGACAGTATAAGTATATACATTTCTAACTGATTGAGTGTACTGTATTTTATTTTCAAATTTCTATAACTATTTACAGTACAACACTGAAATCTAATACACTTCTACTTTTTGTTTTCTAAATAGGTTTCCTTTTAAAACATTGCATATGTTAAAAGAGTCAAAACTCCAGCAACAGTTTTCATAAAGCACATATTAGTATATTTAATGTGAAAAAGACACATATCGGCTTCATCACAAACTGTTAGGGAATAATTTTGCTTAGATATTCAACCTTCGACACAGTTCATCGTTTTCTCCCTTCACTGTCTCTTTCCCATGGCATAGGTCTACGGCCTTGGGTATTGCTGCTATCTCTCTCAGGAGGGGCAGCTTGGGCGCATTGTTGTTGCCAGCTGATGACCGAGCACAAGCTGACATGAGATGTTTGACATCGTTCTTTTCTGGAATGTAGGTTCCCTGGGGCACATTCTTGTTTTAGGAACGAGAGCTCTAGTTGGATTCAGGGTCCATATTTGTTTAGTCTCACTGACAAAGAATGTTGATTATTACACTCTGAACTAGTGAACTACAGAAGAGTTCTTCAGAATTGATTGTGGCATCTCAACCGTGTGGTCAGATCGTGGCCCGTGACATGTCTTGTGAATTCTCCGGCCGAAGCTCCAAATAAACCGTCAGTGTTTGCCATCAAAGCTCCAGCTCTCCTCGTGTCTCTCTGAGTCTTGTTTCTAATTGCTTCAGAAGTTTCCCCCCACAGTCACCATACATAATTTCACAACAATTAAAACAATTTATAAAAAAATAGACAAATATTTGTCCTGTTTATAAGATGGACTGTTTTCCTCTCCACAGATACTGGCTGAGATGTGTCAGAGCGGTTATAAGGATGCTCTTCGCTTCCTAGAAGACAACAGTGAGTATCCTTCTCCTCTCTTACCATATTGACTCTCAGACATACTTTCCTACTTATGATTCATCTCCATCAGCCTCTAGCGTAACCTTTGGACTGTATCACTCTCACTCTGTTTTCTCAGGCATAACATGATTTCAGTATTACATTTCCTAGAGGCCACAAAGGAAAACGATTGACCCTGTAAGAAAAATGTAATATCACAATTTCCATGACGTCACTCACTGATACTGTGTTTTGTCCTGCCAGACCTGATTATGCCGGATCATCCGACAGCGGGCCCCTCTCTGCCCGAGCCCCCCTGCTGCTGCCAGCATACGGAGACCAACAAAGAGAGGGTGCTCCGGAGGCTCCGCCTACTGCGGAAACAGCACTGGTGGCTGGATGAGCAGATCAACCTGCCCACGCCCATCAAGAAAGGTGTGATGTCATCCAATACTCTGTTAGCTTTTCGTAATGGAGATGTATTTGAGCTTTGGTTTTGTAATGCCTCCATGACATCATGTGTGTAAACATGCTGTGTGTGTGTGTGTGTCAGTGTTCTGCGAGGCCTGCCAAGACAAACCTGGCTTGTACGCCAAGGTGTCCGAGCTGCTGCCAGTGAGAGTGGCCTCCTACCTGCTCATGCCATGCACACTTCCTGTACAGTCGGCCTACTCAGTGGCCCAGAGGCAAGTATACACATCTAATCGTTTACAGTATCTCACTTTTAAGCAAAAGAGTTTTACATTTGTTATTTGAGGAGATGTTTGCTCACATTATTCCAAAGGTTTCCAACAAGTTTTGAAAGCTTGTGAAATCTGTCATTTTATACAAGTGTAACGGTTGGTTTCACATAAGACTTTTTTTTATCATGGTCAATTTTATTTAATATATTTTAACCAGATGAGGAATTTTGCTCAGCGATATCTGGTTCCTAAGAAACAAGCTGAGCAAATGTTAGGGTTATCCGAATAGCGTCAGACACAAGAGACCTTTTGGTTAATTCAGCTCCTGGTACAAACTTCTGAAATGTCTGGATCTTGATCAAACTTAAACAGTTAAACAGTGCAGCCCCTCCATGATGTTGTGCCAAAACTGCTATGCAGAACCGCAGCTTTTTTTACATGAAACTACTCCGTGTTTTACCGGTTAAAATCAACAGGTCTGTTTGTTTTGAAAAGGAGATCTTTGCCACTAAGAAAATATTGTTTGAAACTTATATTCCACTAATCTGAAGTAAAGTCCATAACCATGTTGTTTTGTTAAAGATCATTTTAAAGCCTCTTGTTAAAATATTATAATTTCTCTGCCCCAGGTTATTAGAGTGGATCCCAGAGGTGCCAGCTGATATGCGCTGGCTGGTGGGGATGGCAGGTAGCGTGTACCAGCAGGCCTGGAAAGGAGCACCAGCCAACCCCATCAGGTGACCCATTTTTTTTGTATAGCTGTATTTGGTTAACTATTTACATTTTTCCCCTTTTATCAATCATTACAGCTTAAACTTGTACAAAGGGGGAGTGTTTATCTTCGCCTACACACCATCAATAATACATAAATCACAATCATTTTAGCAAAACTTGTTCTTTTTTTTCACATCTTGCTCCTTTTATGATAGCTTTTTTTGCTCCTTTGCACTTTTGTTTATAGATATACTTTAGACGACAGGTTTGTACAACCTAGTTCATTTGAATCAACTTAAACCATACTTGAAATATAAGTGAAATAAACTCTTATACATCTGTTTAATTGACCTTACAGTGAGCCTGGGCTGAGGAAATGCTTGAGTGCGCCGCCTCTACTGACAGAATGTGACGAACCCATGCAGAGAGACCACCTGCCCGCACTTTCCTCCCTCGATCTCCATGGCAGCTACTGGGAGATCCCCAAATCTACCTCCTCCTCACCCCATCATCATCCTCACACTGCCCCCTCCTCACCGCAACAAGTCTGCTTTTTTGTCGGCTCACAGGACGAACATTAGAGCCATTTAAACTGATTCAGGAACTGCACTTTGACGACGATGCAGACACATTTCCACTTTCTGTGGAGCTGGTGGATTGATGGGCGGTAGAACAATTTGAGCAATAAGCAATGGTGTTACAAGGACACACACTTGTAGCACTAACTGTATTAGATTTGACTGAGTGCTCTCTGGAAAACAGCTGCACAACTCACTCAGGTGTGTTTGATGACCTGTTTTAATAAACAGCACAGAACTGTGTCTAATTGTACAACTACAACTCTACCTACCTGTTTAAAACTATTCAGAAGTAGCATGCAATCCTCATTCCCATACAGCTGATTTAATTAATTGTTTAAACTTTTGATCATGTGAATTTGAACTGTTTTATGAAATTGCAACGCCACCACATAATGATTTTAAAGTTAAATGATACACCTTATGGCAGCAATGTTGGAAGTCTGCCGGGCAACTTCTTAAAAAAATGTAAAGTCAGAAATATGTAATTTAATTTTTAATCCAACATGTTTTTGACAGTGTTCCATCTGTGGCTATGGCTACAGATAAAGCTCGGGCTTTCTTATACTATAGTGAGACGGTTATTATAACCAAAGCTACAAAAAAAGTTTTAATGAACTAAAGTGTCCTTCAGTATTCTCTTTACGAAGAATAGACAGTTCACTGCCTCACAGAACTATAAATATTGAGGCAAATAAAACAAGTCACTTTACTCACTGATCAGCCACATTACTGAGTCTCACGCTGGTTAAATTATTGACACAAACCCTCTGTAGAGTTCCTTGTTGTTACTCAATTTGCCAAAATGAAATACTTATGCTGACTGTGCTAATCAACAGTGTTAATGCAATATATCGGTGTTATCAGGGTGTTTTAGATCACTCATAACTTGAAAGTAAAAAGATGTTTTTTCACTGTGATTCTCTCTTTTGATTAAATATTTGAATTGATTGATTGTTTTGTTGATTTTTTGAGTGTCCTGCACCAAATGGTGACAACTACTACATTTTGGAAGTCTATAATATACTTTAAACTCCACTACATTTATTTGAAAGCTTTAGTTACTAGTTACTTAGATAACTAACTAAAATAATAATACATAATATTGATAAATAATTACAAGTTACAATATAACAGCAGAATAACATTTTAACAGGGTATATTTTGATTACAATACTGTACTTTACATGTTAGTATTACTACTTTTGGGGAAATACTGCTCCCTATTGCTTTGGCTCAGAACTACAACTTTCGCCTTTAACATCTGTTGGGTGATGCGACGCTTTGCGCATGCGTCGTGGCTCAGAAGAAGCGACATCAGTAAAGAGGAGGATGGCGGAGGATGGGAGGGAAGAGTCTGTAGCGGCTGACGACGACTCACAACACACAGCTGAAGACGGGAGAAACGGCTTAAACAACACGGTACATTAGTAGCTTCCTCTTTCTGTTTTAGTTTTATACTAGCCCTAACCATAGCAGTGGATAAAGGCTGTGTTATTTGTCACAGAGCTAACATTTTAAAGCTCAGGGCAGAGCTAGCATCATAGACTGTCATGGACTGAAAATATAGATACATGTCAGTCTTGAACAGTTAAGCTAATACCTTCGCTTACATTCATCTGTTTGCATTTTACCATTTATTTATCCTAATATCTATTACTACAATAAACAGTCTTTTATTTTATTTGACTGTACAATATTTAATTTGACATTCTGTTATTGTCTATCTTATTCTATTTACATGTATATAGATAACTGCATTTACAGTCTTTGCATTATTAAGCTTATTGTATTTATTTATTTTAATCTGCATTACTTGCACATTGGGACTTTTTCATTGTCATATCTGCACTGTAGCTACTGTGCATATGACAATAACACCTTTAAATTTGAAATTCTGAAATTTGAATTGAGGTAATTTACTGTATGACCCTTCAAGTGTTGTTATTTTCATGCTACTATAATTTGCTTAATAAATAACGTCAATATCTCGTGGTTTAGATTGACAGCTGTTAGCTTACAGTAGCTTTAAAGCAAGAGGAAGCAGAAGTGTTTCCACATGGTGATAATGGTGCTGACTGTGATGCTTCAGATGGTGGAAGAGAGCCCCACTCTCCTGCGCAGGATGGAGATCTGTGTTGCCGAGGCTGAGAAAAGGAGTGGGAAAAATGCAGTGAACATGCAGGAGACATTTACCGTCTACCTTATTGAAACACGGTGAGAATTATAAAAATGACTGTCTCATTCAAAAGGAAGTTCTGTTGGTCAAGCTGAGATGACTTGTACTTCCTGTTGTTTGAGCTCTGTTGTACGATACGATACGATATACTTTATTGTCCCCGTAAGGAAATTTGTTCTGGACTCCGTCCTGCAGTTCCGCATACATGTACATATACAAACATAGTAGACATTAAGAGACATACACATATCATCAGTCATACACCGTTTGAACAAACACAATACACAGACGCACATACTGACAATGGCGACCTATTGCACAACCCTCATGGCCAACATTTAAAAAGTACATTTCATTACATTTGACTACATTTCATTTCATGTGAATGTTAAGAAGCTTAATGGACATAGGTAGGAATGAGTGCTTATAGCGGTTCAGCCTGCTCTTGGGAACCCTGAATCTTCTACCAGAAGGTAGGAGCTGGAATTCTGGGTGGAGTATGTGGGTGGGATCAGACACAATTTGTTTTGCCTGTCTGATAATGGACTGCTCGTATATGTTTTGGAGAGATGGGTGTTTTTTAACCCCCATAATTTTCATAGCAGTCTGTACCAGGCGAGCGATCTGTGACTTTGACTGCACTGTCAAGTTACCATACCAGGCATTAATACCATACCTCATGATGCTCTCCAACACGGCATGATAGAACAGTAACATGAACTTCTGGTCGACTCCGAAAGCCCGGAGTCGACGCAGAAAATACAACCGCTGTTGAAGTCTAGAGCACAGACCTTGAACATGCGCCTTCCAGCTGAGTGTATTATCTATGGACACCAAGGTACTTATAGGAGCTGACCTGAGTTATGGGTTCATTGTGGATAACCACCGGCCTAAGGTCACCCACTGCCTTTGGGTCCCACACCATCTCCTCAGTCTTCTTCACATTCAGCACTAGATGGTTAAAATCACACCACTGCACAAATCTCTCTATTTCAGAGTGATAAGCCGATGAACTGCTGCCTTTGTGCATTAAGCCAAGGATGGCTGTATCATCTGAGAATTAGATGATATAATTCTCCGGGTGGATTCTCGTACAGTCGTTTGTGTACAGTGTGAAGAGGACCGGGGAGCTCACACAACCCTGGGGGGCTCCTGTACTGATGGTCCGGGGCTCTGAGACGGCATTGTTGACCCTGACATGCTGAGTGCAATTGGTTAAAAATGAAAAATACCATTTCAAGATAAAAGGATTTATACTGATCTTTATCAGTTTTTGAAGCAAGATGTGAGGCTGCAGTGTGTTAAAAGCCCAGCTGAAATCCACAAACAGTAGGCGTACATATGCCTTAGGGTCTTCCAGGTGTTTAGTGACCAGGTGTGTGATGCTATGACGCCCTTGCTTGTAGGCAAACTGAAAAGGGTCTAAATGTACATCAACCTCTTTCTTTAGCAGCGGCACCATGATCCTCTCAAAACATTTCATGACAATGGATGTCAATGCAACAGGCCTAAAATCATTGTTTACCTTTGGACAAGGTTTTTTGGGGACAGGTTTTATTATTGATTTTTTTCCAGAGGGTGGGGATGGTGTGAAGATCAACAGATTTTTGAAATATGGGACACTATGTCAGTTGATGTCAGTTCTTCTGCAAATGTCTTGAGAAGGAATGCAGAGATGCCATCTCGTGCATACACTTACTTCTCAAAATACTAAACAAAATTGTTAATGGAATCCTCACAGGCCAATGGATGCTCTCGCTGAAGGCCGTAACCCAGCTCCCGACTCTCTGTGGAGGAGATACAGTGAATTTGAGCTGCTGCGGAACTACCTGTTAGTTACCTTTCCATACATCGTGGTCCCTCCTCTGCCCGAGAAGAGGGTGAGTTCAGCGTCTGCTTTCGAGGATTGCAGCCTTGCTTTATGTCTTTCTTAAAACATGTATTATAATGTATTGTAAAGACATGTACTACAGTGTCTTTACTGTAGGGTATTTTTATTATATGTACAGCACTTTGGCTAGACCAAAAATCGTTTTAAAAATGTGCTATATAAATAAAACTTGATTTGATTTGATTTGAATAGGAAGTAAGTTGACAAATCACCAATGGCTTCTGGCTTACTTCTAGTAATCTTTGGAACAGTTACGGAGCGTCCACACAGCAGCGTTAAAAAAATCTTGGAGGTGGGCATATCTGAAGCTTGGGGATTTTTTGCGAGCAAGGCACCAACAACCAATCACATGAATCTCCCGCCCCCGACATACGAAGCAAAAAAGCCCGAAGTAAACTGGATATAAACTCCCCAAACAGGCGAAAACCTACCACTGTCTCTGCCACCTCCCTCCATGCCTGGCTCCTCCGGTTTGTATCCCGGTAGGTAAATAGGGACTGGTCATAAAGCACCGGGTGATTCCCTACCGCTAATTTCTCCTCCATTTTTTGGAATATGAGGAAATGACCTGCGGTATGTCTCTCTCAGCATACACGCGGTTTGATTGGCTAGAGCTTGAACTGTCAGATTTGCATAAACGGGATTTGATTGGCTGACGCGTCCACCTCAGCCTCAAAAGTTGAACATTGCTCAACTTTTGAATCCTGAAAATCCTGAAAATCTCCGCTCTGCTTCCCACAATGCAGTTCGGCGAAAAGTGAGGGAAAGTGACGTCACCCCATTCAAAGTGAATGGGCAGAAGCGTTCCAAGATTTTTTTAACGCTGCTGTGTGGACGCTCCGTTATTGTTATAACAACATAATAGCTTATTATATGGAGCTGGATTTTTTTGCTCCATGTATTATTAAAATATCTGCCATAGAGGTAATAAATAGTAGAGAACAAGGAATCAACATTAAAGATAAATTATAGAATGCTTCATTTAAATGTAAAAGATCACGACTACTAATATTTACAGAATGTTTCTTTACTTGTAGGCTCCTTTGTGTGTTTTTATGATTGTTGTTTACTCCATGGGAAAAGGGACAAACATTTGGTAATTTTCAGAATGCACAATATAAAACGTCAGTCATCAATAAAAAAACAACACCAGACTACTTGGTCAATTAGAAGATTAAAACATGCTTTATTCATCTCTATGGCTTAAAGTGCAGAGAGGTGTGTAACTGTGCGTATTATTCACCAAGCATACGATGCAAATCAAAGACGAATAATCCAGCTAAACTGCAATATCATCAAGTAAAACATGAACTGCAGTCGGTCTCTTTGTTCTCCTTCATGCAGGCAGAGTTCGTGTGGCACAAGCTGTCGGCAGACAACATGGACCCAGACTTTGTGGAGCGCCGTCGGGTGGGGCTGGAGAACTTCCTGCTGCGTGTGGCATCACATCCGGTCCTCTCCAACGACAAGATCCTCCACCACTTCCTCACCGAGGTACATGCTGCAGCTGTGGATCAGTGATGAATGATAACAGATCTGCAGCTGATTGAATGTTGTTTTTCACCGCTGTGTGTGCAGGAACATGGCTGGAAGGAAGTGGTGTATGAGACGGGATTTCAGGCAAAGGTACCTTGAGGAATCTCTATTCTTACAGGCAATTTACTTATAAAGATGTTCAGTGTTTACAAAGCTTGACCACTTCTTGTTTCTCCTATTTCAGGCAGATTCCAGGCTGAAAGCTCTCAGCGCCACCTTCAGGGTGAGAAACCCAGATAAGTAAGTGAGTGTTTTCTCAACAAAAAGTAGTTCATTCAAAGGTACTCAATTTGAATGAAATGTTGTCAAAAATCAACATTCATGTCAAAATAATTAATTCATTATTATACAAAATTATCTTAGGTGGAGATAACTATATGTAACAAGTAATAGGGTGTTAGAAAACTCTTTATGTGTACTATACCAGTTGTTGATAGTATCCGTATGATCAGTCAAAGAGCAATTGTTTTATTATTTTTTCTATTATTATCCTTTTTTTTATTATTGTTAATTATTCTCTTTATTAATGAATTAATCATTTGGTTTATAGAACAAGCTTTAGTACACCATTACATTTATGTTTAGTCCGTCTCAATCAAAGCAAATGTTCACATTGGAGAACCTAGAGACATCTAATGTTTGGCTTTTTTGTTTAAAAATAAAGCCCTTTAACGGTTAATTCACTATGAAAACATTATTGTTAATACTATTATCATTGTTTAAAAATGATGAATAAATGCAAACACTTTTAAAATAAGTGGGTAAATGATTGTAATCCCTGTCTTCTGTACACGTGTCTTCCTTTTGTCTCACTTAGACGCTTCATGGACATGAAACACTACAGTGATGAGCTGCAGTCTCACACATCTCAGCTGCTCCGGGCACGAGCTGTGAGTCTCTCTACCTGTCTTTCTCTCTCTGAGTTTCATTTAGGAATATTCAATGTTTACTTTGAATTGACTGAACTTTAATATTGTCTTTGTCTCTTCTAGAGGGTTGCAGATCGACTCTACGGCGTCTACAAGGTCCACGGGAACTATGGGAGGGTCTTCAGGTTTGACAACCGGCATATAATAACCAATCTTTGCTGTGAAGGATTACTTAAATGTGACCATCATAATAGTCTTAACAAAAATGTATTATATTGAATATATTCTGCAGCCAAGTGTGACAGACTCTCCCTGGCAGTTTGCTAACTGTGTGCGTCCATGTTTTGACTGCAGTGAGTGGAGCGCCATAGAGAGAGAGATGGGGGATGGACTGCAGAGTGCCGGTCATCATATGGATGCGTGAGTCAATCTTCTCTGCCTTACAGATTACCACTCTTTCTCTGTTATTATACCATAAGTTTATATATAATTCCTGGACAAACATAATTTCAGATGCGTTTTACACTGTGAGGTTGATGCTGCCTCTACCCTCTGTGTTGCTAGATTAGACATTTAGTGTTTTTCACCCCCCTGTAGATATGCTGCCTCAATAGATGATATCTTAGAAGAAGAGGAACATTACGCGGACCAACTGAAAGAATATCTCTTCTATGCTGAAGCTCTGAGGTAAGACCCAATATTAGCTGAACCAGTATCTCAGAATATCTGACCAATATTGCAGTTGCAAAAGGAAACACCATATTGGAGGGAATAATCATATCTACATTATCATTCTCATTTTTATGGAAATAAATGTAGGTGTTATATTAGGAGTTATGTTAAGTAAACACACTTATCTCAGTTTGCATGAATGACCCCTCAGCACAGACACTATTTTCAAGCTTTGTAAGGGCATGCTTAAAACACTAGCTACAGATAGCAGATAGTATGATTATATAACCATTGTTTCAGACATGTGGTCTCCCCTCATGTCTGAAGAACAGGACCATAGTACAATAACTCAAAATGATAATCTTATGTAATGTCTGTGACTATTAATATATATATTCCTGGACTTTTGCAACCCTAATCACATCTTTGTTCACTGGATATTGGTCTTTCGCTACTATGTCAAGGCTTGTACTTGAGCACTTTGTTGTGGAGATCCAGCACTCACACAACAGGAAAGAATGAAACAGAGAGGAATCAATGAAACACAAACACAGAAATAGTTGATTTAATCATTATTATTTAGTTGCGCACCACCAAACAACAATGGGGAAACATTACCTTGCTTCAACAGCAACCAATCGCAGAAATGGTCCCACAAATATTCAGAAACACAGGACACTTATAGGTATCCTAAATGACACACGAACATGTTCCCTAATCATGTTTAACGCACACACATTGTCAGGTCTCCTAAACTTGGACGCACCAACATCAGAGCAACATGTAAATTCCAGATGTCAAAAGGTCATTATCTCATGAAGTCTTTCGGAGCCTTGCAGGATATGAATTATCCAATTAACAAACTATATATATCGTCTGCACATGAGCGCACATACATTTCTTTACATTTAACTAACACACCAACATCCTTATCGTTTCTTAGCTAATGCATGCTGGATATGAACCACTAACTAACAAGACTTTAACTGTATTATATCTGAGGAAGACCTCTCTTGGAGTTCCTCTGACCTTTGCCAATTTACTTAACATGGGTACATCTGCTGTTAATTGCAAAGACCATTGATAATTAGCAAAGAGACTCATGGGCCTCTTGCAATATCTGGAAACTGTAATTAAATTATAGTTATACTGAGAAGGTCCAAGACTTGACATAACATTCCCTCCTTTTATTAATTTAAGTTTCCAGATCATACAAAAAAAACTCTTACAAATAACCTTTTGAGATCCGCCCTGGAAAGTCCAAAATGACTTTCTAAAAAATATTTATCAATGAATAATCATTTTACTCAAGGCAGAAATCACAGGGTTACCTGTACTACTCACAAATAGCCAAAAAACCACCTTTTTGATTATAACACAAAAAGTGGAAGAAAAGACAATTTGCGCTAATCTACTCTTACTTAAATGGAAAATCATTAAAAAACCTCAGTATGCTTAAGAGGAAAAAAACAATTTGTCCCATTCAAGTTTAACAAACTTACATACATAACCTAATAACAAAGTAACATTCAATTTAATACTTGATTATACATAATGAAAAATCTTCCAAAACACTTATAGCAAGATGTAACTGGCGTACACTCTTTCTGCTTCTGTTATATTGTCCATTAAACACTTCTTCAGGGTGTGCACGTTCCGATCTTCATGCGTAGCCTTTAGATGGAATATCTATCTTAGCCTTCATGCTGTGATGTCCCATCTCATAGCAACATCCCTTGATGACATCTGAAGCAACATCATTACCATTTGAATTGGACGGAACTGTAGTCAGAAAAACTGAGACTTCTTTAAAAGAACAGTTTAACGGTAGATCTTCTTCTCTGGAGTTTGAGATTACTAATATACTTGGCTGTAAATCATCTCAGACATCTTGGGTTTTGTTCTTCGTGTTGACCCAAACCCATAAGACAATAGCAGTGGAAGAATAGCTGGAAACTGAAGGTAGTCATCCAGCTGCCTTCATTGACACTCCAGTTTGCCTCCAGACGCAGCTCCTTAAACCCCGCCTCAGAATGATCCATTTTCCCTCCTTCAGATTGCAAGGGAAAGACAGCTTTGACCTGGGTAGAAAATAGCACTTGCATTCTGGGTTAACAGCCTACAGTCGACCACTAGGCCTTAGAGTCTTACCTATAATTTTTAAACTTCTTGAAACCATGAAATGTTGTTTGTGTTGTGTTTTTACTTACCCACAATTTCCTAAGCACACAACAAACATATTCTGCAAAATTGTTCAGCCACGGTGCTGAAACCAATCAGATCTCAACTTCGAACATTAGGCAAAAAGTTGTTTAGGCAAAAAGTTGTTTCATTTGCCCTCTGGATCATGTGAGGGTTAAAAAATTCACGTGAACAAGAACAATAAACCCATTATACCCCTCCTGGAAACATTGTCCTCTAAACCATAGAGACCATGTTTCCCCAAGTAAGATACCTCAGAGTACCCATCTGCTCATACAATGTTATTTCAAAGTCCTATGACTCATCAAGAAAACTTTCTCCTGTCAAAAAGAATCAACAATGTTAAATATCAAGTTACATAGTCATCAAGCCATGCAGGGATCATGCATAGTCAGACAAATTTCATGCGTCATGTCTCACAATGGTTCAACTAATATGGCATAATCAGAAATCCATTGCCAAAAGCATTATGTATACCCCAAAATAAAATCACTCTGTCGGTGGGTCAGTTTTACTGTAACAGTCAGGAATTGACAAATCAATTCACATTCATTCAGTCTTTGCAAAGTCTAAGTCAGTCTCGAGATCTCATGTCCTATAGTAGTGCACTTTGATATTCTACCAGCTGGAGTTTTTAATCAGTGACATTGTTGTGTTGATGTCAAACAATGCAACAAAGTTTTTCCCATGTTCGCAGCACAATTTGTTTCAGATGTTAAACAAACAAATTATCAATAAACTTCATTAATGTACTGCCCCTAGGAAACACAAAGCCTGACAAATGTTCTTGCAAGGCATTCCTAAGCGAACCTGCAGACATCGGCCTTTTTAATTAATATTTAAATTAATTAATAATAATAATAAACCTTTTTATTAATTTGTTTACCCTTAGAAGTGAACATATCTCATAATGTTACATCAGGATGTTAAACAAAGTTTTAGCCAAATCAATCATACCAAACCATTTTACAGTACCAGGTACTGAAGTAGATCAGTATTACTGCAGATTTAACTGGTGGTTGAACAAACCAAAGCCTTTTTGTTTACGACATGCAAACCACTAACACATTTTTCCAAGTTCAGCATCAGCCTTCGTTACTCTAAAATTACGTTTTAAATAGGAATATTAGAAATGGAACAAATATTCAATCTTCAGAAATGTCCTCAATAAATCTCTATCTAGTGAATAGCCAACATATTTAAAAAAAATGTCAGATATATAAAAAATAAACCTAAATACTCCTTTACTATCAAAGTCTAAAGCTAGACCTAAGGTGAACAGTTTTTGTTATTTATTCTTCAAAATACATTAGTAAATACTTTGTAAAGTTATTCACACTATAACTAACCCTCTCTAGGATATCAAATCCGTTCATCTTTAACCTGACTATTTCCCTATTTACTTTCAGTTCATTATAACAATGGTATAACAACCACACGTTTTACCCATAGCTAGTTTATATTTCAAGATTATTCTGTGTGATATAATAATCAGATTTCTTGTATGCAAAATAAAGGATATTAATAGTATTAATCTTTTCAGTATTCTAGACCATCGTTAAACAAGCAGCCTCTCTTCTTAAACACTAAGCATAATGTTCTGCACCACCCTCTGGAAAACTCTTGCACAGTTATGCCGTAAAATCATTGCATAATTTCTTCAGAGTCTGAACAGTCTGAGACAAGCCTGTCTCAAGATCTTGTCATAATGAGAACAGTCAGTGATTCGTTGTCCTCTGCAGCTGTAGTCAGTGGCAGGGCCCCCAAAAAGCTAGAAAGGGCCCTGGTCAGTGCTCAAGGAAACTCTCTCTGGCATCTGGAGGGAAGGAAACTCTTGGATCAATGTGGTACAATCAGCAGACACACGTTGTCCTCTGGACAGTAGAAATCCCCAAAAACTGCAGTTCCTCTTCACACCACTGTTGCCTTGACAACAAGGGTTCATGTCCATCACAAGCAAAATGTCAAAACCTCCTCAGAGATGCGTTCTTTGCACACTTCTTCTGTTTCTGTAGTGAGCAACATTTCACCAACACACTGATTCAGAGTACAACCCAAAGGTGGCGCATAACTATCCAATGCTGCTGTAATCACAGCCAATCAGCTACTAGAGAAAAACTCAATTTAAATCTCTCCCCCAACGGGTTACAAAATTGGCTGAGTGTCTATATGGTCAGGAATGCTGAAACATGTGAATGTTAAAACAAACTAATGGTGGTAGTTTACCCAGATTCTTTACTTCATCAAAAGTAGTACAACTACATTGTAAAATCTCTTTTGTCTAGTTGACATCCTGCTTTTAAATTCTAGTCAGGAAAAGAACATACACATCATCTTTAAAATCTTCTTAAATTTGAAACCAAAAAGGTATTCATTCTCCACCACGATGCATTTCAACATCAAAGTCCATCAAAACTGATGATTTATCTTTAAAAACATGAGGAATGACAGTTTTCATAAAACACCATTCTCCTTTACTTCAGTTCTAAGTCAATGAGCAAAACAAGGAAACCCTCCTTAAACACTATAGATTCATATTTTATCTACTTGCTTATTCTATTCATTTTCTAATTGTTTATCTAAGTTGTGTTACAAGCATGGTTAGGTTGTAATAATACAAAACATCAAGTAACTGCATTCAATCCGCGCTATATTTGAAAAACAAGTAATCTGATTACAGTTAATGAATATATTTTTTGGAACACTTAAAGGAATTATTGGTGGTTTCCTCACAAAATGTAATCTTCATTACTAAAGCTAAAACCTCATCACGGAACAGTTTTCTTTCCTCATCACTTAATTGTTTCAATAAAAACAAAAAAACATCTCAACATCTCAACACTTTATTCCATCTAAGCATGAATGTTTATGACAGACACGCCATATATTCCAAGAATAAATATCTCTGGGCCTAAAGAACAATCCATTAATCCAAAACGGTCTTTAGTGATATAAATTGTGAACTTTCTTAACATTAATTGTAAATGCAACGTATGTTCTCTTTAGAACAGAGATAGGATAGTTGCAGCTGAAACTGGTTAATAGCAATTTTCTGTTAACCTAGATAAGCATGTTGTTCTTATATCTAGTAATATAAATATATTTATATGTTATGTTACTCATAAAACAGTAAACCATAGGAACATTTTCCAGAATAGTAGTTAACTTTATATAACATTTACTCTCTCTAGACTCTTCAAAACATCTTAATTCTCCTGTCTCTCTCTTTCCTCACTGCGCCCTGCAGCTGCTCCTGTCCACAAGCTTCTCTCATCAATCACACTTGACCTCTTATGTTATCCAACAGTGTGAAAGGGCTTGAGCAAGCATCGTACAGAGCCTCTGTCATGCTTAAACATTAACAGCTTCCTTCTGACTGACAAACTTATAAAAACCTCCTGTTTACTACTTACTACTCTTTCTTCATAAACTTAAAAAATACAATTGTGGTGAATCGTTTGCGTTTTCAGTTTCCTATCTACTTTAAACAACCATCAAATGAGAGTCACTATTGTATGATAAATACAACTCCTGAATAATATTACAATATATATTTCTTACAGTAAGTTTGTTATTTCATGTTTAACAATTCTCCTCTTTCTATGTCATATACTAGGTGGAAAAATCCACTATTATATTTAATTTGAATAAAACCTTTACCTTAATGTACTTCATATACTTCAGTAAACCTCTTTTTACTTTGCCTTAACGTTACTGTATGTAATTAAGTTCCTTTGAAATATAATTAAGTACAATTCTTAGTCAAATGACAAATACCATGAAATTCACAATGCAATGCAATGGTAACAATCAGTTCTCAAAGACTATGTTTAAATAGCAACAAATCATTGTTTCTTATTTATTTCAATATATCTAATACTTCAAATCACACATTGATCTATTCATTTTCAATGTATTCACTCCAACTTCAGATCACTCGTTGATCTTTCACTCCTTGTTTTAAACAGAGAAACACTCAGCAGCCTTCTTTCAGGCATTAGACGAAAGAACAAGCAGACACACTCCGGGCTGCTGCTCGACAATTAGAGCAGAATCAGGAGAAGGGGGGGAGATACTTTCACAGACAAAGACAGACACACCCCGGCTGGAGCTCTCAGCCTTTTCAGAAGAAAGGGGGGCTTCTTTGACCAATAAGAAATTAAAACAACAAACTATGGTATACCAAAACATTTAGCGCTTTATCACAGACTCTACATTACGGTCTGACAAAACATGGAAAACTCCACTTTTGTATGTAGTGAATTCACAGAGTCGCCAGGCAAGTTTTATACTTTTAACTCCCTGAACTCAGATCGGGCTTATTAATCTCTTAATTACCGAACGGACCGGATGTGCACTTGGCTCGCAAAGCAAATCATATCCCCTCAGCCAAATGAATATCTGAACCTTAAGACAATCATTAGGATCTTCTCAGGCAGAATTCACGACTACGAGGTCAGATACAGTGATTCCTCCAGCATAACATGTCCTTACGGCTAGCAAAGATCATATCCCCTCAATCAAACCCTTAGCTTCTCAGGCAGATTACGAGGTCAGATACAGTGATCTCTCCAGTATAAACATTTATCAACATAAAACAAGACCAACAAACAAAACAAACAATCAACAGATCTCAATCATAACTGTGCAAATATCCCAAATCCACTCCTCTGCATCTTCCTTTTAACCAATACAACTTCAAAAGTCATTTAATTCCAAATACGTTTTGCTTACTGTGAGTTGGTATTTCTTCTGTGGAAGTCTCAAGTCTGGTTTCTCAATTCCTCGAGATTTTACCACAGCTTTCTATGTAGCTGCCTGATCAGGGTGAGTTGAGACCTCCAGGGAAAAACACAGCAACCTCCAGCATCGGCAATCTCGGTAGAACCTCCAAAATGTTGTGGAGATCCAGCACTCACACAACAGGAAAGAATGAAACAGAGAGGAATCAATGAAACACAAACACAGAAATAGTTGATTTAATCATTATTATTTAGTTGCGCACCACCAAACAACAATGGGGAAACATTACCTTGCTTCAACAGCAACCAATCGCAGAAATGGTCCCACAAATATTCAGAAACACAGGACACTTATAGGTATCCTAAATGACACACGAACATGTTCCCTAATCATGTTTAACGCACACACATTGTCAGGTCTCCTAAACTTGGACGCACCAACATCAGAGCAACATGTAAGTTCCAGATGTCAAAAGGTCATTATCTCATGAAGTCTTTAGGAGCCTTGCAGGATATGAATTATCCAATTAACAAACTATATATATCGTCTGCACATGAGCGCACATACATTTCTTTACATTTAACTAACACACCAACATCCTTATCGTTTCTTAGCTAATGCATGCTGGATATGAACCACTAACTAACAAGACTTTAACTGTATTATATCTGAGGAAGACCTCTCTTGGAGTTCCTCTGACCTTTGCCAATTTACTTAACATGGGTACATCTGCTGTTAATTGCAAAGACCATTGATAATTAGCAAAGAGACTCATCGGCCTCTTGCAATATCTGGAAACTGTAATTAAATTATAGTTATATTGAGAAGGTCCAAGACTTGACATAACAACTTCATGAAATGTGATATTATATTGTACACTTTGCTTTGGCAGGGCAGTGTGCAGAAAACATGAGCTGACCCAGTTTGAGCTCGAGATGGCCACACAGGACCTGATCTCCAAGAAGCAGCAGCATGAGGAGCTCTCTACAGGGGTACACTCAACTCCCATTGTTACTCACTGTCATATACCTGATGTGTTCCTGTCTGCTATTGTTAGGCAGTGATGGTTGATTCTGTCATAACCAAGGTGAGACTGTCGAGGAGATCTTCCCAACTAAATCTCTGTGATTCCGTTTTCTTTAGATTGTTCGGACGTTCTCCTTCAAAGGCATGACCAACAAGCTTTTTGGCCAAGAGGCACCCGAGCAGAGGGAGGCCAGACTGAAGCTGCTGGAGGAGCTGATAGAGGAGGGGGAGGAGGCGGTCAAGGACAAAACAGTCGAGTGCGAGTGAGTAATGGGCCCTGCTTAATATTTGAAGATAAAGCAGCCGTAAAGTTGTTTTTTGAAGGGGCCTAAAGTTAACAGATATGGTTCTAAACTGTATTGAAGTAAACATGTATTATTTTGAACTGTATTTTAGTGAACATGTATTGTTTGAACTGTTTTAAGTAATCCTATATATATTCTCTTCTCACTTACACTCACTGACCCAGATATCCTGCTACACACACATACACCTCCTCCCACCAGCACACACACATATTCTTTTCAAGGTCCTTTCTGGGCATCAATATATCTGTGTACAATGTTTGGTTGTCTGGGAAAGAATAGTTTGTGTGAAATATTCCTTGGGAAAGTAAAGGAGTGAATACAGGAGCAGAGATAAAGATTGACTCTGTCCTTGTGTACTTCCGAAGATTCTCACGCTCTGTTCAGAAGAAACATACTTTTTTCCCAGAACTCTGATTCGCTGTATTGGACCCGACCAGAAGTGAATCCAACCAGTAAAAACACCTGGGGGAGTGAGCAGCTCACACAGCTCCTCACCAGGGCCCAGTCTGCTCTGATTGGTTAGCTGGCTGGCTCTGTTGTGACTGGTCAACCACTAGAGATGTCCAGCTCCATAGCCTATAACGTACAATGTGTTGGAGCGCTAGCCAATAGAAGCGAAAGGGTTAAACAGTGATGTGAGGATTTCAATCAGTCTTTGTAGACCATTGACATGCTCATAAACCTATATAACACACTACAGGGAAGGTTAAACCCAAAAAAGCACAATAAGGCCTCTTCAAAAGAATGTTCTGTTTATGATCAAGATTATAGATAATGCATTTGCCAAAAGTGTGAGATTCATTTGATCTGTAATACTGCAGAGAACATGTTGAAAAGGCATGGGTGGATATGCAGCGCTTCAAGGAGCAGAAAGACAAAGATCTGCGGGAGGCGCTCATCAACTACGCTGTCATGCAAGTCAGCATGTGCAAAAAGGTACGGAACAGCACATTAGCTATGAGAAGGTAACTGTTCAACTGTCTGTTCATGTGTTTTCCTTTCTCTCCCTGCAGGGAATACAAATGTGGAGCAATGCCAAAGAATGTTTCCTAAAGATGTAAAGTTGAAGCCATATTCAAAGGATTTCAGCGATGCTCCGTTGTGCATGCTGGGAAATGATGCCAATGTGAGCTAGTTGAGGTTTGAAAACAACCACCGTAAACAATGCACATAAAGATTATGTCGTTTCAAGCATTTATACAAAATAAGTTCATATGCAACTGATTTTCAGCAGTGATTTACATTCACTGCTAAGCTTTTTTGTAGTGAAAAGTGTTGGGAGGGTGGGATGGATCACACAAAAGCACATGACTTGGACACTGGAGACCAGGGTTAACATTCTCAATATTTACCCAAGACCATTTTTTTGTCACAATAAAGAGACACTGCATGGTAAAAGAAGATGTAGAGGGCCAGTTTATAAAATGGGTTTACAAAGGAATGTTATAGTATCATGTCCTCCCCTTTTCAGTGAAGCACTTCATCTCCACTTTATGACTGCAATGTTCTGACAGCTCATGATGATTTGGGGCTTTCCCCTGCCGTGAACCCTAGTGTTGGCTCTGTTTTCATGCTGACTTCAGTGTTTATAGCATGGGCCCAATGCCCTCAGGCTGCTCCTACCCCTATGTTGTTTTGTTCTAATATTCATGAGTACTAATTGGGATTGTACACCTATGTTACCAGTTTGGTTTGGTTAAGGTAACCTTAAGGTAGGTCTGACATTTCTTAATCAAACTGGCCAAACATGTGGACGAAGACGCCCTGAAAAAAGAGGATCTCCACACTAAAAGTCCCTTGTTATTTTTGATGCCTTGTATTTATTGGTGACTAGCCGCTACTTTTTCTTTTTCTAACATCATTTGTTTAATTTATTTTAAAGACATTCATGCTTTAAATTAATCAATCAAAGTGAAGAGTCTACAAGATGTTGATTACTTGTAACCATGTCCAGGGCAATGTATTGTACTAATGTACAGTAAACTGCACAGAAGATTATCGATACTCAGCCTAAAATTCTATTTAGTTTAGATTAAATATGACCTTAATTTATTGACTGTTTAAATAACATGATATATGACGTGTCCGAGGCTTTCCAGCTAAAAGCTTTGTGAGTGTATTTAAGTGAGTTTTGATAACTCCATTTACCCCTTACCTTTTTATATTTCTAATGTTGATGCTCAATTTGGATGGATATCTCTTGTTTGTTTATTAATTTATTTGAATAAACATGTGACAAACCAATGACTATTTGTATTCAGTTTCTCTTAAAACCTTGACTCAGAAATACCATTCTTTTTCATAATCCAGTGATAGTCAGATTTTTTATATATTTGTCCCATTATTTTAGGGCCTTTAAGGATTTTTCATTCATTTACATTCTATAACTCCATCGACAGTGGCAGAAGAGTTATTCAGATCCTTTACTTAAATATAAATATGTCGTCTAAAAAATAGCTTTAATTCCTAAAGGTATTATCAGTAATATGTACATAAATAATAAAAAATAGACTTCATGCAAAAAAACATCAGGCCTAGTTATTATTTATAAGTTAATGATTGTTAAAAAAAAATGTTCTTCTAATAAAGGAAAGTGATCATCAAGTCTAATTCATTTTTATTTATGTTTTATTTTATTACAGATGGAATTCAAGTGTGTAAGTCAGTTTATTAAAAAGAAAGAGTTTTATTATAAATAAGTATTTCATTTTTCAATAATGGACAAAAAAGACCTACAACAATATACAGTAGATATTGCTGTTGTTTGTGGAGTATCGTATAGGGGTTATAATAACCTATACAATAACTCTTAACACAGTGGTGTAAATATTGTGGCGTAAAGTATAAAGCTGAGTTCCCTTTAAAAAGACTCTCCCACAATGCACTGCTTGCTTGGCTGTCAGACTATTTCCGGGTTTGCTCCGTCCAACTCCACGTGTGCTATCTGCACGAGCCAAATGACAACAAACACTTTAATTATGAATGGAAACGAGGACGAGAACTTCAGGGACTTTGTGGCCCTTCATGCCGGGGCCCTGCAGTCCTCCGGAATCCCTCTTATCTACTGGAGGAGCCTGCATGACAAAATCACCAACGAGGTCTGTCTCTGCCAACGCAGCACCGTTACACGCCTGAGTACCATAAGGTGTAGCTCAATGCTAACGTTTCAGTCACTGTAGCACAGTTGTTGGATAAACAGCAGGAAAACATAACTATACATGTTCTGCATGCATTTCTTGCTGCTAATGGCCAAAAAAACGCCGGGTTGCATGAATGTAAGGCTACTAGCAAATAATTACAGATTATATATTGTAGAACCGATATCATGTTTTTATGTAAAATAAGCAAAACCTTAGATTACGACTGGTTACCCGGCTACTATGTAACTAAAACATGATTGATCACAGGGGAAGGTATTTTGCAAACTCGCTTATCAAATCTGAATAGTGAGCTTTTCCTTTATTGTTTGCAAACTTACACTTTGAATATATCTTATCTTTATCAACACTCATACTTTCCAGTTTATTCGGCATTACATGTTGCCTTTTTTTTCCAATGTAATGTCTGTCTTTATATATGTTTTACACTTCAGTTTAGCTTTGTTACCGGGTAGTTGGGGAGGCGTGTGGTGCAGTGGTTTGTGCGTTGGTGTTGGGATCAGGGGGTCACTGTTCAAACCCCACTGCAGTCAGCATGTCGTTGTGTCCCTGGGCAAGACACTTCACCCCAAATGGCTCCTGTGGGGATTGCCCACAGTATTGAGTATGTAAGTCGCTTTGGATAAAAGCGTCTAACAAGTAATGTAATGTAGAATAGAAGAATAGAATAGGGAGGGATGAAACCCTCTTTAATGGTCACACATGCAGAGCACACAGCACACACAGTGAAATTTGGCCTCTGCTTTTAACCCATCCTAGTACAAGGAGTCTAGTACTAGGAGCAGTGGGCAGCTATTGTACAGCGCCCGGGGAGCAATGGGAGTGGTGGGGGAAGGGGGGTGTCCGGTGCCTTGCTCAAGGGCACCACGGCAGGGCAGGAGGTGAACTGGGACCTCTCCAAGTAGAAGTCCACACTCCATATTTAGGTCTGGTCGGGGACTTGAACCAGCGACCCTACGGCTCCCAGTCCAAGCCCCTACTGACTGAGCCACTGCCGGACTATGTAATGTAATGTAGTTAACCCTCCGGTATCACTGTGGACGTTTTTGTCCATATGGGTCATTTTTCACTTTTCATTTAGCAATAACTTTGGTTGTGTTGGTGCAAATGGCCTGATTTTTTTGTAACAAGGCTATTTTCTAGATCTATTTTGGAATTCCAATTTAAATTTTTCAAATCGGTCTTTAATTCACTGTGTAACAAATCGTCTACGCACATTAGTCATTCGAGACAAAAATATCCACTGCAAAAGACTTTGATAAAAACATTATAAAAAGGTTTTTTTCACAACTTTTTTTAAAAATGAGAAGCAGGCAAAACTAAAATTGACAAATTCGCTAATGGAGTCTGGTAAGTAACATGTGAAAATAATGACTCTTATCTATATACATTTTTTGTGTCATAGATTTATGATGCTGGGGAAGTTTTTGGCATCATGCAGTTCCAACAAGACAAGGAGGAAGAGGAGGAGAATGAAGAGAATGAGAAGAAGAGGGTCAACCCAGGAGCAGGGATGAGCCTTAAAGTGGTTGTGACTCGGGACAGTGGGCTGCAGGTCTCTGAGCCGACCAGGTGAGGGCGCCACAGGCCAATAAATCCCACTCTACAGAAGAATATAGCAGTATTTAACCTATAATAATCAGGGGTGCACATAACTGGTACGCAGGTACGCATGCGCGGCACAAATCTGAATTGCGTAACGTCACTTGTGTCACTACGCGCCTTTGCGTACCTCAAAACATCAAAACAAAACACATATTTCGTCTACACGTGTTTCTTGTCAACACTCAATGGAGTAAACTACTAGGCATGTCAAAAAACCCAAAGACATTAAGCAGCTACGTTGCCGTTTCGCTCCCTGCAAAAAATCTTTCTATGACTGATTGAACTGGAGCTGGGTGAGCCGCGCAGGACATAACCAACGGACCTGTGAAGCTTTCCAGGATGCAGAGGCTTAGATCACTGGACGACAGAGTTGGTCGCCGTGTGCACAGACAGGGTTAACGTCGGTATAAACAACAGAATTGTGCCAAAAGTCCGCCAACTGGCTGCGGTGGGAGACTCCCCTGAGCACACTCTGTGCCCCGCGCACACACTGGAGAACTGCGCAAAATCATCTGATCACAACGTTCACGCTCTGTGGTCAAGCTGCTGCAGTTTTATTTACACCAAAGTGGAGTGAAACACACAGCTGCAAACTTACTCAGGGTGTTATGGAAGAGTTTGAAATCAGACAGAGGTGGAAGAAGTACTCAGATCTTGTGTAGGAATACTCTGTTACAGTAAAAGTCCTGCATTCAAAATGTTACTCAAGTAAAATTAGAAAAGTATTATCAAAATATAGTGAAAGTAGAGACAGTAAAAGTATTCATTGTGCAGATTGGTCCGTTTCAGAATAATATATATGATATGTTTTATAATGATTGATCATGAAAGTGTTCTCAAAGCTGGTAAAGGTGCAGCTAGTTTGAATGACTTTGTAGACTGCAGGGTAGCTTGTGGATTTACTCCAGGTGGAACTAAAGTCTGATTTAACACTTGATTAGATTTCACATCATTCATCCACATCTGTAAAGTAACTAAAGGTATTAAATACATGTAGTGGAGTAAAAGTAGAAGTACAAAGTAGCATAAAATAGAAATACTCAAGTCAACTACAAGTATCTCAAAATTGTACTTGAGTAAATAAGTGTGCTTTGTTACTTCCCACATTTGAAATCAGATATGACTTCAAGTCATGTGATCATTTCTTAGTATTTGATCCTTCAACTTGGCCTCAGGAAATGCAAGGACTTCACAGTTTTGGCAACAAGTTTTGGAGAAAGCAAATCGGAGGCTTAAAAAGAGACAGGGAGGTGCATCTTCATCATCTTCATCATCTAGCATGCAAGAAGTGTAAATTGAGGACAGTGAAGGAGACACTGAGGAGGACCACGCTTCGTGTGGGGTGAGTACCAAACGCTGTCTCTTGGTACTCATCTGAGTAACTCACTAAAAAAGTTATGTGCACCCCTGATAATAATAACCTATTTGCATTGGATTCAATTTTTAATAAGTTATGAACGTTTTCACTTCTAAGTTCCATTTTTCAAAGTCTGTTTTCATTTCACAATTTAATTTCTCCAAATAACACATTTTGTGTCAAGTCACATCTTTAGCCTTTGAAAATCATACACACCTGAACTTTGTCAACCTTCCTCTCCGCTGCCTGCAGTGTGTTCCTGGTGGATCACGCCTGGACGTACCGCGTGGAACAGTGCCGTCAGCAGCTGGAGCAGATCCCCGGCCTGCTGCCCAGAATGGCCGCCCTCATGGGGGTGGACTTCCACGGCGAGGCCCCTGACCCAGACACAGTGGAGCTGGTGATGGAGAACATGTGGAAGTACAACCAGACTTATAACCTCTCCGAGGGGGTACGTGTTATTCATTTATACCAACAGTTATGTATATTAATCTTGTGTTCGCTGAAGACTTTAAAGGTCCCCTATTACAGGGGGGATCGCGAGATGATTCAAAATAAAAAAAATTCTAATTAAAATAAATTATAAAAAATAAATAAATAAAATTATTTATTATTATTATTAATATCCAGTGTTTCCCACATCATTTGATTCTGTTTGTAGGGGCGCCGCACTCCCCCCCCCCCCCCCCCCCCCCCCATGCAAATGAGCCATAATCTCATTAAATATGCGCATATTTTAATACTTTCAGGAATACAATTCTGAACATTGGATAAAGTCAGGTTCGAAATTCTTGTTTCATTTTGTAGTCATATTAGAATCTAAAGTTTTTACAGAAGGGATTTTGGATATCTCTTTTTATCACTCCATAAATCAGAAAATACTGTCAACAGCTCTAAAATATCAATTTTCGCCATGTTTTTAGGTATACAATGTTATAATTCAGGCTATGAATGATATATGTGACCCGCTCTATCGAAATCAGTCGGATGTCGCAACGGCTCATTTCAAAATAAACGTGGATTTGCGTAAAAAACTATTTTTTCGGGGTTCGGGTGTTTTGTTTGATTTTAAATAAACAAAGTCTTGGCTTTCAGAATATGAAACTTTTA